AGACGTAGGCCGCTGCCGTCGTGGCACAACACGGTCGCCCTTCACCAAGGCGAGGGCAACTCGCTGGCGTGAGCCGGGGCAGCGAGCACGACTGCCTTTTGGGGCCCAGCATTTTAAACAACGCCATCAGGTCTCAAACCAGGGCTCAACCCGAGAAGAGCTGCTGCATGAAGCCAAGACCCCACGGTTGTACTGTTCATTCAGCTGTAGCTAAAACTCGGCAGCAGAAGAATCACATAAAGCAATTACAGAAATTAAGAGCTTTCTAATGAGTAAAACTGGGTTTGGCTATTGCAGAAGCACAGCATTCAGTACAACTTGCTTTGCTAAAGGAAAATCCAGTGTATGCACAAAAACCCCCACATTTTAATTTAAAAAAATTACCTTGGAAATTGTCTTTTAAAAAAAAAATATCTCAACTGGAATAACCTTAGAATAATTAACATGCAGCTGATAATTTGACAAGCTGCTTTTAAAGAGTCAGATAGGGGAAAAAGACTTCCATCTGAGTCATGAAGTCTGTTACAAAGCGGCAAGAGTTATTCATGAACTGACAGAAACGCGATTAAAGGCGTCCTGACTTGGCTAGCTGAACACATGGCCTTTCTTTTCGCCCATCATCACCTGTGTAAGCACCCAAATGATGGACCTGGTTGTGTCCCAGTTCTGAGCGTCCTGCTGGGGAGTCTGACCAGCAGGTCAGCTCTTGGTGAGGGGGGAAGGCAGCCCGGCTGCTGCCCGTGTACCCCCCAGCCCATATAAATCCACGCTGCTCTCCCAATATCACTCCACTACCTGACTGGCTGACAGCAAAAGTGACTGTAACGCCCAAGGACTGAAAATTCACGATGCTGATGGTCTTCCTGAAGTATTGCCGAAGTATTTGAGCCGTGGCTGGCAGATGGGCCGGACCGCTGAGCTCCTTCTGCCTGCGCGGGGACAGGCACAACAGATCACGCTCCTTTTCCTTTAGCAAAGCTTTTACTGCGGCGCTGAACAACACAGCTTGCACATGTAACCCGGAGCGACGAGGGAAGACGAACGCCCATACAGTTGCACAGAAGCACTAAGGTCAGACAGAAGGGAGTTGCTTGAACAGGAAAGATTAAATACCTACCCTAGCCTTAAAATAGGAGCAGCATAAGTGAGCTCAAATGATAGCAGGAGAGGCCTCAGAGACCGCAGGAGTCGCTCCTGTCTCTAGAACACTTGTCTCATTCTCAGTTACCATTCACGTCTTACAGCAATGGGCAGAGAGATTATGCTAATGGTGATCTTTAATGTCAGTGACTGATGTGACAGCAAAGTAACGGAAGATGCTGCATGGGCATGAGACAGCAGGCTCCCGGGGGGTGGGGGCTCCCACTGAACTTGGGGCAGGGACCGGATTGCTGCAATGCCGTCAGAGTTCGTAATCCCACCACCGTCGCCCCTGAGCGGGGCCTGTGCTGGCGAGCCCCTCCCTGCAGAGGATGGGGTGAGCCCGGCACGTCCCGGGGGGCAGCGGCATGGAAAGAGAGCAGTCCCTGTGAGTGCCCACCTGGTAAACGCTGGGCCCGTTTCACAGGAAAAGGTGCCAGGAAGGGGAGGTGTGACAACGCTCGGCAGGCACCGTGTCCAAGCCGGAGGGCCATCTGCCTGCCCGCGGGAGCTGGCAGGTGCGAGCTGGAGAAGGCCAGCACACGTTCCTTAGCGTGTGGTCCTTGGGCATTTCACCTCACTGCACTTCCACTGCAGCAGCAAAGCGTGCCACTGCTGTCTCCACTGCAGACTCAAATGGGACTGAAGCCTTTTAGAAGCCTTCCATGACTGAACGGAGCAAGAACCCCGTGCACGATGCACCAGTCTGACAACGCCTTCTCTTTGACCTGCTGCCTACTGCTGTCTCTGCTTAGGTGGCAGTCAAGGTTTCTATCCCTCTGCAAACCAAGTCTGCTAAAAGCGTACGTTTTTCCGTGTCAGCTGCTATCTGATCAGTACACACCTGTGTATTTACAGGAATACTCAAGGAGCAGAAAGCCAGTAAGAAATGGTCTGAACTCTCACAAAACTCTGCCACGCTGGGGCAGCTGGGAGCCGTCGTCTTGTACCTCCCAGTGCCTACGATACCTGCCCTTGGCATTTGACTTGAATTTAACAGGTAACAGGTAGCCCCAAATGATACAGCACAGCAAAAGGAGAACAGGAAGGCTATGGTAACAAAACCAGAAACATGTCTGTGCTGGGAAAACGGGAAGGAGGTTCAGGGAGGGTGATGTCTGCAGTTCTGCGGGAGCGAGTGGCTAACACGTGGCTGCTGTGACAGAAGAGAAGCACACTGAGGAAACATCCCAAATGCTAACCGTGCCCAACTGCAGTGGCCCTGGCAGAGCCAGGCTGCTGAGAAAGCACCTTGCAGAGCAGCAATCAGCAAAGATGGGATCTTCTCAGCTCTTTGCTGCTGGATCCTTATTTCTAATCCTCCTTCTTCACCCCCGGCCAGGCTTACTCTGGCTCTTCCCTGCTTCTCCCACCCCGGGCTCCTTCGGGAAGGAGGGGACAGGAGCAGCACGTCTCTGCTTCGCCAGCAGCACGGGGCCTCTCTGGGACCGTGGGCTCAGACTGAATGCTGCGGGACTGACTGCCTGACAAAAGGCCAGCCCGGTCAGGCCCTAGTCTGGGCCACGCAGCCACAAGCTCCGGGCAGTGACACTGCACCAGTGAAGTCCCCCCAGGCCCCAGTGCTACCTCTGAGACCAGAATCTGGACTTAATTTTTAGGTCTGTTTACAGCCTTTTGACATGGAAGCTGCTTCTTGCTATACGTCCCTGTTGTGAGGCAGGAGGCTGCCTGAACCTTACTCTCAGCTCTATAAAGATGGGCTTATTTCAGTCTGGAAGCCCGGGGGAGCAGGA